AGGGGGATGCTTAGCAGATGACACAACCCGCATAAACACAAATGGAGGAACTTTTCACCTTTCCTATTGGCTAATGGGCCTTGTAGCCTCCACAGTGCTGAAGGCAACTTAGGAGAGTATAGACATATTCTTCATATTAGCACTTGAGGAAAAGAGAGCATCACACAGGGGCTGTGTGTTTTTGCAAGGTTCTTAAGGAGCCTTGTTTATTGTGTAGTGCATTTAGAGTAGTACTAGCTACATCATCAGCAACTGTATTTTTTATAAGATTCGAAATTATGTTTCAGTGGGCTTGTTAGTAACGATCTAATGATCCATGTAGGAGCAAGTATAATGGAGCCCGTGACCCTTACTGTACTGTTCATTGTCATCGCCTCATCAAAAATTAAGCACAATGGGAACAAACACATGTACAAATGAGACTAGCCAAGAAATTGTGTGTTGCAGGCATGTATGCTGAAGAAAGTTAGTTAGAAACAATTCTGCTAAAGCTAACTGCGTCTTGGTGTCAATCCGAGATATCATTTCGGTACCATAGTTCTACAAAAATTGTACGATGAATAAATTGTGAAGCAATCACTTCAGTGACAAACATTCTCTACTTATCTTTGCTTAGTTTTTCCACACTTCCACAAAGTGTAAAGCACAAATTTGTAAAAGGGCACTAAAGAGAAAAACAATTTTTCTCGTATTAGTAAAGTGCAATTTCACAGTCGCAAAAACACCACTCTTATTGCAAGATAGCACTTGGTAAGCGAGAGAATGCACGAAAGGAAAGTGCAAGTGTAGACACAACCTTGGGATTTGCGCACGAAACACCGTGATGTCATAGATTTTGACAGCATCTACTGGGACCTAGTTCTACAGTTATTAATTGGTTAAAATGAGTACATTGTCATCTGTGGGTGCCGTAGACCCAGTAATAGCAGTGCTGCTCCAATTGCTACAAGCTGCTCCAATAGACAAATGGTGTTCCATGCTGCTTTAGACTGTGATTTTTGTTAGGAATTGCTCCAAACCTGTTCCTAAAGGTTGCTGAGGAAACTTGAAACAACGAGCTTGAACTGTGGGACTAAACAGCGAGCCTAAACAAAAAAAACCAGCTGAAGATACTATCCTAGTATGCAGCTAGTAAGCAAGCTGCATACTAGCACATTGACAATGCCACAAAGACGGGCACTACATATGCCTGATTTAGCTGTATATTTGTACGTGACAAGCAGTGTATTTTGGTGAAATGCCTGTGAGATTAGTGTCATACCATACTGATTACCAACTTCTGCTACTTGTCATGGTGGTCTAGTGGCTAAGGCACTCTGTTGCTGACACGCAGGTTGCAGGATTGAATGTCGGCCACGGTGGCCACATTTTTGATGGAGGTGAAAAACGCTTGAGGCTTGTGTGCCTAGATTCAGTTGCACGTTGGGAACCCCAGATGGTCAAAATTTCTGGAGCCCTCCACTACAGTATCTCTCAATAATATTGGGGTTTTGGGACTTAACGTCCCAATAATTATTATTACAAACTTTGCTGTGACACCTTGATGTGTGATTACATTTACCACTTTATCAGCTTTGACCTCATTTATGCCAAAAGAACTGGCATTTTGAGCTCATAGCTCATTTAGCTTTTTGAAATTTTCGATGGGAGATTTTTTGGCAAAATATGAAATTAACGTATTGCTTTGATCTCATACTGGTATTTAGCTGCCCATTATATTAAGCTGCCCATTACACTGCCTGTGTAATGGGCAGCTTGTCCCGGCGTCGTTTCTCTCTGGATACATGAGCCAACCCCAGTCACTGAAACAGTCACCATGCATATGCACAGTCGTGCCGAGTAGCAGTGCACGTCATTTCCAAGACAAAAAGTGTTGGCAGCAAAGCTATGTTGCTCCAAAATCTTAGCGATCTGGAAACTGTGCGCATAGTTGCATGAGCACTCTGAACAGTTGCTCAAGACGTGCTGATGAGATTGGGACGACTAGGTCATGCGAAGGCAGCGTCATTTTAATGAATTTGTCTAACAGAGGCTATAGGTACATTTTTATTTTTACTATAAAGAAACCAGCAATGTTTCAATACTAAGGAAAAATTGTTGATTGTGTACAGCAATCGGTGATCAAATGGCCAGCTAAATCTGATCGTTCATGTTTTCAATGCCAGAGGTCATTTTTCACAACTTTCAGTGAAAAAATAAAAATCGAAATTCACCTCTCACGGAACAAAAAGGGTGGATTTGAGTCAATGTGACTGGCAATTCTTTCTTTAGTGGAGTCATGTTATTTCATGTTCTGGGCAGTTGTCGGTCCCTTTAAGAGAACTTTTTGTTTAGTCGGGCTGGTGTACGTTCATAACTGATTTTAAGGCGCGAAAAGAAAAAAAAAATGCAAACACGAGGGAGGGTATCATTCTCGTGTTTGCGTGTGTTTCACGGCTTAGAGTATTTTATGTCACAAAAAAGCTAATAGGTGCTCTAAACTAGTATTTTTTTCTTCTCCGAAAACACTTAAAAGGCCACTCACCAGGCCCCATACCGAATTTTAGTTGGACAGTGGAAGTTGTTGGGTGTCCGATGAGGAACGTTTTGCCACAAAAGTTTTTCGAATCGATTCATTACGAGCGGAGAAAACAGGTTTTTTGAAGCAGCGTGAAACGAGGGTCAGAGGAGGCGAGCTCGAAACCCTTGCCGCTTCTCCGGGTAGCCTTCGCAAGCCAAATCTCTTCCCCACCCTCTCCGGCATCCGACCAAGAGGTGACGTGCGCATGACGGGCCCGAACAAGCCCAGCCCCCATGCACGCGAGCGGCGTTGCTTTGTTGACCAGCGTTATTTTGTGGTCTTCGGCCTGTTTCTGCAGGATTGTTTGGAAACGGTGGCTTAGACGCGGTAGAGTAGATGCGCAGAATGAGTGCGCGAACGCGTAAAAGCGTTCCACGGCGGTCGTCTGCTTAATGCGCTGATCGCGGGGACCCGACCGCGTACGAAACGCTGGAACATTAGCCCCGCATCTCGTAGCATTTCACGAGAAAAAATGCAAGAAAAACGCGCACAATTTTTTTGCGTCTCATTATTTATTTCAAGTTTCATTCATCTCTTAAAACAACAAATACATAAACTATGCCTGTTGTGTTAAATAATTTTTGCCGTGTCACGTGGTATACTGTTGACAACGTCAGAGGAGAGTCGTCTATGTAGAGGACCAACGTCACTTCATTGCCGTGTACGTAGAGCCATTCCTACGCCCACGTCATGCCCTCATTCTGTACACGTGCGCCGGCAGAGGGGAGGGAGGGCAAATGTCATTTTGAAATTTAACCCATTTCCGCGGCGCGTAGCGTTGCAAATTTTGGCAGACGTGATCATGAACGCCTCGTCTATGCATTGCGCTTGTCAGCTCAAAATTGTCAAACCTCGTGAGTGGCCCTTTAATGCTGCTCCAAAGCACCATTTTTTTCTGCTTCAGTATCAGCCCCGAAAAGCAAAAGGTCGCTCTTATCACTGTAGGTCCTAACATAGGAAGTTTCAAAAAATTTCATCGAGCCCATGTCGCAAAAATACAAGAAATATATTTGGAAACTCGCCACATCACATGCAGAGATTACAGGGTGAAATTTTAAAATGAAACTTCGTCTTTCACTTCCTTTTCTGATAATTAACTTATGATAGAGAAACTTGTGATGTTAGAGTTCTCAGAGCAGATTTTATCAATATAAAGAGTCATTGTTTCACTTCAATGGCCCTTTAAAGGGGCCCTGCAACACTTTTTGAGCATGGTCAGAAAACGCTGCTGATCAGCAGTAAAGGCTCCTGACAACACCCGAGCCAAATATTATAGTGCAGCATGCAGCTTTGAATTCACAATAAGTTATCAAAGTCACCTAAAAAATTGCTTTCTCTTCTCTCGACAAGGGACGTAAGATGCTCAGAAATCACTCCTAGAAAGCCGATCTATCAGCCATTGGCTGATTTGAACATGCATTACAGAGATCGCCCCAAAAAGCCGCGTCTTGTCCACGAGTGCGTGCGCTATCACAGTGAAAAAGCCGCGCATATAAGAAAAAAAAAAGTGCTCAAGGTCACGAGGCGCGCACGCCTTACGCATTTTCTTTGCGCACCTGCCATCTCTCCCTGCTTAGCTTCCAGCGCTTTCATCGGGACGAGAGAAGAGAGAATGCAGTTGCAGCAAGCGACTAAGCTTTGTAAGTCCTCTCGCACTGGACCGATTCTTCAAAGTTTTGCGGCATTGAATTTGTGAGACAATAAACTTAGAGCTTCCAGTGAATTAATTCCATGGTTACTTGAAAAAGCGTTTCGGGGCCCTTTTAAGGCAGCTGATGCTGCCCATGTTACATATTGGTTGTCGCTTGTTCTCTATTTTTTTTTTTTCGTAATATATGTATGGCACTTAGATCTTCACAACAGGTTGTGGTAATAATAACTGCGTATTGTGTTATAAATTGCAAATCCCTTGCTTTGTACATTTTCATGGCAATTCAGTGACATCTTGTATTGTAGCCCTTGATTCTCCCCCCCTCTTTTTTTCTTATTTTTGTATGTGTGTGTGTGCTTGTGCTTGTGTATTCTTGAATGCCTTGTATATATTCAACTATTCTACCATGAGCCAGCTATTGTTCTCTTTCATCTAACAGAGAGTATGCAATCGATCAAAATTTTGTACTGCATGCAGGTCTCGCCTTCTACTGTGAATGTCCAGGTGCTCCTAACTTTTTTTTCGAGCTTCTTTAAGAAACTCGCTCTTGAGAGTATGGTATCTGGTGCAGAAAAGACTCGCGTAGGCAGTCTGAAATAACATTTAGCAGTATGAGGACATTTAGTAGAGAATGATGTGCCTGGTTGCTTGCATGGACTTGGGTGGAATGTTTTTCTTTTTGATGTGTGCTTGTGTGGTTGCTCTATGTTGGTAGCTTGTGGCCTGTGAGACGAGATTTTCTCGGGAAGCTGTTCTTTCTCACAACTTTCTTCCTCTGCTCTTTGCCAGGTGGTTACGAACGATATCTGTGATCCTCTTCCTTAACAAGCAGGACTTGCTAGCGGAAAAAATCAAGGCTGGCAAGTCTAGGTTAGAAGAGTATTTTCAAGAATTTGCGCACTACCAAACTCCCTCGGATGGTGAGTGGTTTTCTTCCCCTCTCACTTTCTTTCTTTACTTTCCCATTAACATTCTCTGGTATTGATTTATTTGAAAAAGAAAAAAAAAACCTATTCATTGCTGTCACAGGTCACAGACATTTGATACCAGTAATTTCTGTTACATATTGTTTTTCGCGCTTGCACACACACACACACACACACGCACGCGCACGCACACACGCGCGCACACACACACACACACGCACACGCACACGCACACACACACACACACACACACACACACAGAGAGAGAGAGAGGAGAGAGAGAGAGAGAGTTCTATTCCTATATACATTGAGCCTTTGAATATATGTATTGCTGTTGAAATGTTGCTCCTAGAAATTGCATTTTCAAAAATTCATAATTAGTACAGTGATCTTATCATTATTAAGTGTAAAAGGAGAGTGATGGGGGCAGGTATTTGTATTTGTACTCTATGATATATTAGGGCAAATTATGAACTGCTCATGTTATTGACTTTGACTGTTTAGTTACTGCCCCAAAGTGGTGGTCTATTGGCTAAGGTACTCGGCTGCTGAGCCACAGGTTGTGGGATCGAATCCCAGCTGCGGTGGCTGCATTTTCGATGGAGGCAAAAATGCTGTATGCCCATGTGCTCAAATTTGGGTGCACGTTAAAGAACCCCAGGTGGTCGAAATTTTGGGAACCCTCCACTACCGCGTCTCTCATAATCATATGGTGGTTTTTGGACGTTAAACCCCACATATCCATCATTCATCAATGACTGTTTCATTGCTAATAAAATACGACATATTTTTTTATATAGTATCGATAATTTGATGTCTTTCATATTATGAGGCTTTTCTGACTGCTTCATTACTGATTTGAAGCAGTTCTGCTTTAAAGACTGCCAGTCAATTTTATTTCTGGTTGTGTGTGTACACGCAATGTGAGTGTGTGTGTGCGTGTGTATGTGTGTGTGTGCATGCACGTGCGTGCATGTGCGTGAGAGAGAGAGAAAACAGACTAAAAGAGAAAATAGACAAAAGTGGTATCTGTAATAAAAAGTTCAGTTAGCCATGTTATCTACTTTCTGCAATGAAGATTTTGAGCCATTTGTTGAGTTTGAAGTTTAGGATCTAGTGAAGTTGACTGAAGTTAACTTTGTAATATGCTTCTTAATGGCGTTTAGGAGAATATTGCTTCTTCCTTTATATTTTTTATTGCAATAAAGATGTATGCTTGGGGCAGTGAACTAAAATATTTTGTCTTCTTCAATTGTACAGGAAAGGTAATCATAAGGCATCTGGTTTTTCATTGGGTTCACTTTCGTGCACTCGCTTGTTTTTAGTATAGTTGCATAACTTCCTGTAAGAGGCATATAATTTGTGTATGCTGTTTTGTCTACTGTGTATTAAGTTGAAATTTCGGTAAGTTAGTCTGCAACAAAACGAAAAAGGAATAGCATGCTCTTGTTCATGGTTATGTTTGAAATATTGAAAGTACTTATCCTGGGACCTTGCTTTTGAGAGAAAATGTTGGCCACTGAAGGAAAGAAAAATCTGCAATATAGTATGCAAATTTATGTGAAAACTTCTCCACGGTCAACCCTAGTGTTTGGCCACTTGTACATAAGAAATTCCCTCTTTTCAATACAAGCCTGATTGCCTCGTCGCGGTGGTCTATTGGTTAAAGCACTCGGCTGCTGACCCGCAGTTCGTGGGATCGAATCTTGGCTGCGACGGCTGCATTTTTCGATGGAGGCGAAAGTGCTGTAGCTTGTGTGCTCTGATTTGGGTGCACGTTAAAGTTAAAGAACTCCAGGTAGTTGAAATTTCTGGATCCCTCCACTACGGCATCTCTCATAATCGTGCGGTGGTTTTTGGGACGTTGAACCCCTCATACCAGTCAAATGAATCAATCAATCTGAACAAGAAAGTCATGAAATGCATGCGACCTTTAATGCCGGCTATCAAGTACTCACGGGGAACATAGCTTTCGGCATGAAAAATCTAGCGCCTTCACCTGTGATGGTAGACCCAAGTGTTGTGTAGCTGATGGCCAAGAGCATGAAGTATTTTCAACAATTTTAATTTGTTCGTTCTTTCTCGAGTGAAAAAAATTTTAATAAGTTCAGTCTTCTGTAACATTTGTTTTGTTTTGTGTATGCACCCAAGAGGTAGCTGACGACATGCTATGTAGTTATAAAATACTTTTTTTTGCAAGATGCTCGCTTTTGTGGTATGTTGCGAATTCACAAAATACCTAAAAGTATGTATTAAAGTTGCATTTTAGATAATTTAACTGTGGAATAAATTAAAGGCTGCAACTTAAAGCGGTGGAAAATGAAATCAATTTTTTTTCTTTTGGTGGTTTCATAGTTCAGACATTAATTGGTTAAGAAGTAACCTGTTGAAGCCACTGCACCAGTCTAAGCAAATTTCTGTAAGCAGCAGAAAAATGCCATGCTCATGTGAGGCCAAGGGGAAAAGGCCTTTTTGGTAAGACGTGAAACAATTTGAGCGCAAAGGAGCACAACAGCAAAATGCGAGGACACAACACCTGTGCTGACTTCAACAAAAATCGTTTAAAATTGGCATTTGTTTTTTGCCCTTGTGTCATCTTTGGCTAAATATTGTTCCAGGTGGGAGCTTGTTTAGCTGGTATTTAGTGTTGTTTTTTGCTTTGTCTTGACTGGGTTTTGTGGTAGCATTCATTTCATCTAGCCTTGTAATTTTTGCCATAAGGCACAAAACATCTATCATACTAAAGTGGGTGTGGCATATACTCAGCCTCGTTACCCGAGTAAGTAGGTGAGCTCTCGTTAATAACAAAGCATCTAAGAAATGATTGAGCAGGGAAGTGTCCTGCTAAAGAAACGGGATAACAGTCGCAGACGTGTGGTAGCTAATGCAATAATTTAACTGATATCTGAAAGATGGGAGAAGAGGGGGGGATGCAAAAAAACATTAAATTTGTGCTATAAAAAGTTGGCCTAGGAAAGGGCAGGCAGTATGTATGTATGCAGTGAAACATTGGCAGGAAAATTCTTTAGGAATTCTGTTGATATAGTAAAAGCAGGGGTGAAACAGCTGCACCATTTGTGCCATTGTGCGCCAAACTTGTTTACCTGCGCCATCTTGCGCCGAACTACACCTCCTGCACCAAACTTGTTTATCAGCATCATATTGTGCCATAGCACTAAAATTTAGCCACAATTAAAGTGCGAAAGCCATCAAGCGTCGTGCCCGAAATGTGAATGATATAGTCTTTTTTGTTTAATTGAAACGGTTATAGTTTGCATTCGGTAAAGAATGTGATCGCTCCAGCAGCAGTCGTGAACTTTGATTGAAAGGGTGCGGTTGTGGTCGCTATGTGCACGCTATAGCGGTAGGCGGGAATGGCTTGCGAACCCTTCTATGTGCTGCGCTTTCAACCCAAAGAGACTGCGAGATGAGCATCACCTCCTGGCGTGGCTGTATTATTTTACACCAGCATTCTGTAGAGTTACACGATTTGGCAGTTAGCCTTAAAATTTGTTGCTATCATGTCCAGTGCTTCGCCCTTCTAGTGAAATCATTTTTTTGTTTTTAACTGTTGATGACAGTGTTCAGAAAAGGAAAAAAAAAAAGGTTGAAAGTAACGGCGCTTACAAGAAGCAGATGTGGTGTCTGGTTCCCAAAACAGCCTAATAAAGACGGGTGCACATGAGTATTCATTGAGTGCATGCGCTTATTTTCGTTTATTTGGCCGCTGTGCTTTGCGCTTATTGACTTGGTTGTTGACAGAGGTGTTTTCAGGTTAAAGAAATGGGTGGCTGTACATAACTAAAGAAGTCTCGGGTGCACTGCAAAGGCAAAACAATGAATGTGATGGCAGGCAAGCGTAATGTTATACGAAGTGAGGCTGGCAGCTCTTTTAGGCTCGATCTCATGTAAAGGTACAAAACGCTGGTGTACGAGAATACGGCCACTTAAAAGGAGGGAAACATTTTTCGCAGTCCCTTCGTGATGAGGGCGCGGAATGTGGAAGTGTATCAGAGCCGCTCGCTGATGGCTGCCGAGCTAGTGTGCGCACCAGCGTCATGACCACACCTTTAGAAGCAAAGTTCATAGTTGTTGTTCGAGTGACGCTTGCCTGCTTCGACTACAGACCATAATCATTTTGGGATGTTAAATCCCACATATCAATCATCAATCAATCCAGTGTCAGAAAGTCATGAATACTGTATCAAATATCTGTAGGGACTCCACAGTTTAATTCTCCGCTGTAAATATAGAAAATGCCGGTCAAGGAAGGTGCATTCAAGGAATCAACTCTGCAATGCCATTCTCTGCATCTTGGAAAAAACATTCAAGCTCATATATTGCAGATGATTAGGTGCAATGAATAATGATCAATTTTTCAGCAATGTATGGTTTGCAGGTTACATTGTCTTAACCCTTTGAGTGTCAAACTTTTCTGAGAAAAGCTGTCGCATATGGTCAAATGATTTTATGTGGTTTTTAAATTTATGAAATCTATAAAGTCTGGAAAAAATTGAAAAAAAGAGGAGCAGTTTTTGGTGTCAGCATCACTCAGAACTGCAGAACGTTTAATGGTATTGCAGTGTGTAGTATTCCTTGAAACACTGGTCTATGCACAGCACCTTATTGCTATCTGCACACATAATACAAGCCCACTTTTTGGAGTGTCAAGTTGTGCTGGCATACACATGGCGTCTTGTGAGTATCAGCGATAAAGAAGCTAAGAAGCATTGCCAATAAAAATTGAAATCAACTTCCACTGCCCCTGCAAGGGAGTGCCGTGGAGACAAAAAATTGTTTTGCGCGCCTTCATTGTGGTGATGCGGTGAAACTGAAACCACGAAAGGGCGTTGCTCATCAGCGTTGCCGCAGTCCGTCTGACATGCTAATGCTAGAAATCAGTTCTATTTATCTGTACAAGAAGGTAACGCAGTAATTTCCAATGTTTCTTATAGTCCTAAGAGGTGTGGCAGCACCTCCCAACGAGCAAGCGT